CTTATAAACCCAAGCTGTAATCGGAATTCCAAGTGTCGTCTGCTAGAATGTAGTCCAAAGAATGAAGTCACATGATCAACTAGCGGATTCTGTGTCAGCAGAAAATTTCTATGGAACACAAAGTGGACCGTATTCTTATGTTGTTTCAGTGACTTTTAGCAATAAATCACGCTACGTATCTTATTTTGTCAGTCACTATTTTTTTTAAAATCGTTGTTCTTTGAAGGAATTGTCACTAGTTATAATGAATTGATATTAAAGATAAATACTAAGAGAAGTTAATTATAACACCCGGTATCCATTCAACGTGTTTTTCTAGACTTATTTATAGATCAAACATTGTACACGAAAATAGGTGACGCATTCTGCTGCCGTTGCCGAGTTGGTTGTTCATGAAATATGGGTCAAAGTGAAGGATTAATAAAGAAAATCGAAATAAACCAATTCTAATTATTTTGTAGAATATCTGAGGAAACATCTATGACATAAAAAAAAAAATTTTTGTTTTTTTAATTTTGACGAAATTCGGTGTTGAATTCTTATATCCACGAAAATAGGTTACACCACTGTAGTTAAAGAGACGGGCATTTCACAGACACCAAAATCATAGTCAAAATAACAACAATGCTAGCAGTTTTATATCATTGAATATGGATGCAACATAAAGTAACATCATTACCTCACTCCCTGGCTGTTTTGAGATTTCTGACAGAGGTGAACTCTGAGTTCTTTCAATTGTTTACCAAATCGTACAGCCGATGCCATTTTGGCTGAATAACCTTCAAGAGACACGGATCGATTGTGGATTATAGATTACATTTTTATTTTGACCCTCAGAATTGTGATTTAGGTATTTGATTGTTAAATTTGAACATCAAATTCAGATTTTTAAACGTAATAATCAAAAAAGATTCAAAATATTGTAAATTTTCAAACAGAAATATTTTATCATTTCTAAAAGCTCATACCGATTCCTCATCAAGTCCGTAGAAAATATTCAAAAAATTTAGGTAAGTTCACTTTAGTCGAAGCTGCTGTTTTGTTTCAAACTTAAGCGAAACTGTGCATCGGTTCATTAAAATAGAATTTTGCTTTTCAATTTTGCTCTTCGTTGTTGATATTTTTATTTCAAAGAAATATCGAAGCCTCTACCTACACTCTCAATCAAAAAGGAGAAAAATTCTAATCAGATAAACTTTTAACTGATTGAAACGAAGTGAGCCCAACCGGAAGTGAAAGATCAAAATAGAAAATAGTTTACATTGGTTTCCTGTAAAAATTGATTGAAAATTTTTCGACTCTGTGGTGAACGTTAGCTCTATTTATAGACGGATGATAAAATGGGGTAGCTGGAGTTTTATCCAGAGTCTTTGTTAAGTTTTTGGTGAATTGTTTTGAAAATTGTTGTTGGTTATTGGTTATTCAGTTGATTTGAAAGACTTGACTTATGCGTCATTGAGTGATTGGCATTTTCTAAGAAAAGGACAAAAAAAGAAATTGAACAAGTTTTGACAATAAATATTACAAATCAATTCATAAAAGTTGTTGTCAGTTTTTTTGTGTTGAAACTAAAGTGACAAAGAAACAATGGAGAAATATCAAAGAATACGTAAAATTGGAGAAGGTGCATTTGGGAAGGCAATTTTAGTAAAGCAGAAACAAAATGGACGTGAATGTGTTATTAAAGAAATTAGCTTGGGACGAGTAAGTTACTGAATAATTTATTTAGTCAGAAATTAGATCTGATGAACTCAGAATAATCAAACATGACACGAGGTCAAGGGTCATCTTGTTATGAAATGAAATGGACAAAGACTAAAGATCCTTGGTCAAACCTGTTGGCATTAATCTTTTAGTAATGACAACTTAAATTTTGTACCTTGCCACAGTAAGAATTTACAGTCTAATTTGTATCAGATGTCAGGCGTTCAACTTATTATATGATATACAATCTGTGAAAGACATAACACAAATACCAAATGTCACTTATTTGATTGTTGTTTCATCAAAGAATGATTGTTATATTTGTTGTAGATGGGACCTAAAGAAAGAGAAGGCTCAAGAAAAGAGGTAATAGTTTTTGTACAGTATTATGTGTTCATGTTTATTTTATACCTGTACACACAGATAAATATTTCCTTTTTTGGGTGATAAAGGTTGAAAACTGACACTGAGCTCACTCTCAGAGGCACTGGGCATGGCACTGACATCCCCCCACCCCCCCACCCCCTCCTTATTTTTAGCTTGAGCAGGTGCAAAGGGGTTATAGTCAGTTTTAACTGGGGCCATTTTGACCAATGATTTTGGTTGAAATCAAGTTCCAAGTTGACTAAAACCTACTGGTATATTATATTACTGGTATATTATATTACTGGTATATTATATTACTGGTATATTATATTACTGGTAGATTATTGAGTGATCAATGTTGTCATTGACTAGTTGTTAATATTATTTGTTATCAGCTCTTATTAAATCTGGAGTATAACACTGGTAGCTTGAAGTTCTTCCATTTGATGATAATAAACACGAATATGAGCTTATTTGATATTTTATTCAGGTTGCTGTTTTGTCTCAGTTAAATCATCCCAACATCGTAACGTATCTAGAATCATTTGAAGGTAAGATTTCTCTGCTAGTATCAGTATTAAAACATTTAGATATTAAAAGACTTGGTGAGAAAAACTTTGACTTGTTCAGAGTTTTGGTAGTTTGAATTATTGAGAAAGATCAAAACAGCTTGTTAGTTATGATATCTATTTGTACTCACATTTTACAAGAAAAATAGAAGATTGTAGTCAGTTCTTCTATAAGGTCAAGTTATTATGTCAAGTTATTATGTCAAGTTATTATGTCAAGTTATTATGTCAAGTTAAAATATTGATAGATTCTCGTAGTAACAGTAAATCTGTAATGAATGAACCAATGTTTTATTTTTCAGAAAGAGGAACGTTATATATCTGTATGGACTATTGTGCTGGAGGTAGAACATCAATCTTTATATTTTTATTAAGAATTAAATCTTGGTCTCACTAGTATTATTGGTGTGTAAAAGGAATTGATCATGTGACAAACTGAATAAATGACGAAGTCTATATTATGTTTGTGGCGTGTTCAACTGCGTTTACACACCAATAATACTAGTAAGACCAACGTTACGTTTAATTCTTATATTTATATTCAGATACTTTTATTTATACAATTTTCACTGTTTTATATGATCAGTTATTTGAATTTACCACTAATCTTAGATTGTGTCATTGTTGTGTTTTGACGATGTCATAGTGTCACCTGACAAATAGTTTATGGAAAAATAAACGCCAGTTTGCGTAACTGGTTGATTGAAGGGAGTGATAGTAGAAATGTATATATTCAAGAGTAGCTCAGATATTCTGAAATCATAAACCATTCCTGTTTGCCTGTTTGCCTGTTTGCCTGTTCGCCTGTTTGCCTGTTTGCCTGTTTGCCTGTTTGCCTGTTTGCCTGTTCGCCTGTTTGCCTGTTCGCCTGTTTGCCTGTTCGCCTGTTCGCCTGTTCGCCTGTTCGCCTGTTTAAGATTTAATGAAGTCTGAAGTCTTATTTTCCAAAAAATTTTCTTTGAACCTGAAAAAACATTGGAAAAAAATAACCTGAAACGCCTTTCTGGATTTTATTTATAAAATAGCAGCGGTTCTTTTACATGATTCCCTACTGATGTTCTCTGAGGTTTATCTGATGTTCTCTGAGGTTTATCTGATGTTCTCTGAGGTTTATCTGATGTTCTCTGAGGTTTATCTGATGTTCTCTGAGGTTTATCTGATGTTCTCTGATGTTCTCTGAGGTTTATCTGATGTTCTCTGATGTTCTCTGATGTTCTCTGATGTTCTCTGATGTTCTCTGATGTTCTCTGATGTTTATCTCCTGTAATATTAGAATACTGATATCTTATCTTGAAACTCAACTCAATGTGGCAGTGTTAAAGAGACAGGTTCACAATTCGTTTCACTAATTGTACCTTAGCCTAGCCAATCAGTAATAGCATTCACAGCTCACCATTATCTGTTAGAAAGTTAAAAAGACATCTTTTGTTGAGGCTCAGTCAGATATAGGAAAATATATTTCTAGTTTGAGATATTTTTAAAGGAATTATGCAATTTTTGTACATTTCTAGTACTTCTGAAGACTATTTACATATATTCAAGACTCAAATTTACCTACCAAATTGGCGTACCGGTCCCTTTGACAAATAGATATAAATTGTAATCTTTGTTAAAGTTCACCTTTTCTATTAATCAATAATGAGATAATTTTCCATATTTTATTTCTTAACACTTTAAGGTTAAGGAATAGTGTTATAATCAGCTTTGAGTGGATTAATGAGGATTAGGATTAGTAATTAACTGTTAATAATGAAACTATGAATTGAAACAATCATTGGAATTAAGATTTGATTAAGATGGATAATTAGGGTAACTAGACTTTCATTAAAAGGTTATGGTACCAAAAACAATTAAGGACAAAGTTAGGAAAACGGAAAGTTTTTTTTTACTTGAAGTGTGAAGGCATTTCGGTTGACAAGAATGCTATTAAGTGAGTTTGTTCTTATTCTTACCTTGAGGATTCGAATCCATGGCACCTAATCGCCTAGCAGACGACAATCCAATTCGCTAACGACTGAGCTATTCCACTGCCACATAAAGACAGTGTTCCAACTCAGCGTTAGAGGGAAGAAAATATTTTCTAGAATAGATATTAAATTCTCAAACTTGGCCAATATAAATATCTATTCTTCAGTGGACTTACTAGGTGTCATGACAATACAACAGAATCCCTCTATAATCTGATTTATTCATTTAACCAAGATATTATTGAAACAGTCTGCTAAACATGTTTCAAATGGGCAAAATATCCAGATATCTATGTAGTTACCAAGTGTTGTAATTGTACAACAGAATTCCCATATAAATGGATGAGTGTATAAAATTATAAGTAATTATTAAAGAAGAAATTTAGAAACAGAAGTTAATTGTAATCAAGTTATTTTTCAGGAGATTTATACACGAAGATCAACCAGCAGCGAGGAGCGTTGATACATGAAGACCAGATCTGGAATTATTTCGCTCAGATTTGTCTGGCTATAAAACACATCCATGACAGAAAAATTCTACATCGTGACATCAAGTCTCAGGTAATGTCAAGCTGGAATCTTTTCTTTCCCCCTCTTCTAAAAGGAAACTGTCCTGCTTGTCAAGAAGATTTGGTTTTTCTTACTTTCTGAAAGCTTGATTATTAAATAGTTTTCTTATATCTCCACATGAAAATATACAGGTATATTGTTCTCAGATAAAATCATCTGTTTCTTCATTATCATAAATTATTTTTATACGGCCATATGAAAATTTTGATATATATTATTGTTGCCGTTGTCTGCAGGTAGTATCAAACTAGAAATCTTGTTCTTATCATTGAATATCACAAAGGGAGGCGATCCTGGTGGGGACGGGAGGGACATGGAAGAATCTTCAGAACAATATTTGTGATATCTGACAGTAATTTTTTCTTTCTATTTTAACAAATTGAATGTCATGAAATAGAAAGACAAAGATAAAAATAGCCATGGAGTCTAATCGTTGTCTAAAATATTTTTTTAATTTCTCATATAAAACATTATTTTCAGAATATATTTTTAACTGCTGAAGGTCGTGTAAAGATCGGAGATTTTGGTATCGCTAAAGTTTTAAACAAGTGAGTTGGACATGTTTTTACCCTATCTTCATACATGCCATACATAACCTAGAGTTATGTCCCTTTTTATTAGGAAACCTGTCAATCGTAACCAACATGTGATAGACATGTGTGTACATTATAGTACGTCGTACTGAACCCTGATGGTTTATAATTTTTCATTTCATTTCACTATCATAGCGTGGTAATAATATCATTTCTTAGAATTAGGATTCGCTAATTTATAATCATAAATCTGTGGACTGTGTAATATTGATAATAATAGAGTGAACTGTATAATATTTATAATAATAGAGTGAACTGTGTAATATCGATAATAATAGAGTGAAATGTATAATATTGATAATAATAGAGTGAACTGTGTAATATTTATAATAATAGAGTGAACTGTATAATATTGATAATAATAGAGTGAACTGTGTAATATTTATAATAATAGAGTGAACTGTGTAATATTGATAATAATAGAGTGAACTGTGTAATATTGATAATAATAGAGTGAACTGTGTAATATCGATAATAATAGAGTGAAATGTGTAATATTGATGATAATAGAGTGAACTGTGTAATATATTTATAATAATAGAGTGCACTGTGTAATATTTATAATAATAGAGTAACTGTGTAATATTGATAATAATAGAGTGAACTGTATAATATTGATAATAATAGAGTGCACTGTGTAATATTTATAATAATAGAGTAACTGTGTAATATTTATAATAATAGAGTGAACTGTGTAATATTTATAATAATAGAGTGAACTGTGTAATATTTATAATAATAGAGTGAACTGTATAATATTTATAATAAAAGAGTGTACTGTGTAATATTTATAATAATAGAGTGAACTGTGTAATAAAGATAATAATAGAGTGAACTGTGTAATATTGATAATAATAGAGTGAACTGTATAATATTTATAATAATAGAGTGAACTGTGTAATATTGATAATAATAGATTGAACTGTGTAATATCGATAATAATAGAGTGAACTGTGTAATATTTATAATAATAGAGTGAACTGTGTAATATTGATAATAATAGAGTGAACTGTGTACTATTTATAATAATAGAGTGGACTGTATAATATTGATAATAATAGAGTGAACTGTATAATATTTATAATAATAGAGTGGACTGTATAATATTGATAATAATAGAGTGAACTGTGTAATATTTATAATAATAGAGTGAACTGTGTAATATTGATAATAATAGAGTGAACTGGATAATATTGATAATAATAGAGTGAACTGTATAATATTGATAATAATAGAGTGAACTGTATAATATTGATAATAATAGAGTGAACTGTATAATATTGATAATAATAGAGTGAACTGTATAATATTGATAATAATAGAGTGAGCTGTGTAATATTGATAATAATAGAGTGAACTGTGTAATATTGATAATAATAGAGTGAACTGTATAATATTGATAATAATAGAGTGAACTGTGTAATATTTATAATAATAGAGTGAACTGTGTAATATTGATAATAATAGAGTGAACTGTGTAATATTTATAATAATAGAGTGAACTGTGTAATATTGATAATAATAGAGTGAACTGTATAATATTTATAATAATAGAGTGAACTGTATAATATTGATAATAATAGAGTGAACTGTGTAATATTTATAATAATAGAGTAAACTGTGTAATATTTATAATAATAGAGTGAACTGTATGATATTGATAATAATAGAGTGAACTGTGTAATATTGATAATAATAGAGTGAACTGTATAATATTGATAATAATAGAGTGAACTGTGTAATATTGATAATAATAGAGTGAACTGTGTAATATTTATAATAATAGATTGAACTGTATAATATATATAATGATAGAGTGAACTGTATAATATTGATAATAATAGAGTGAACTGTGTAATATTGATAATAATAGAGTGAACTGTGTAATATTGATAATAATAGA